ATAAATTGCAACATAAATCCCACTAATTGGGGCGTGATTTACTGCATGATATTTTCCTTCCAAATCGTCCCATATCAGTCCATCGCCCTCAAAATAGGCCTTGTCCTCAAGGCCGAAATGCTGGAAAACGCTGGTCGATATCATGCCAATATTCCCAAGTGGCGTCTGCAGGAAAACTGTTGGTCCAATGAATTAGTATCTGTGTGACTGCCCTATTATTCCTCTTAACCAGCCGTCGGTCTAAGATTGCCAATGGTTCAAGTTTCACCCAACCAGCGTCATCTACTGGGGTAGCCCTGTTTGGACAGTCACTTGTTCCCCAACTTTTTTCTTAAGGCACGAAACATGAAACACAGGGTGGATGGAGAATGTCACTAAGAGTTGCAACTGATAAGCGACTTGACCCACCCGTTCTAATATTGGAAAGGGGCCAAAGAACTTGGGGGCCACCTTCTTGTTTTCTCTCCATGCTAAGTATGTTTGCCAAAAGGGTTGTAAACGGAGATAGACGAGGTCCCCAATCTCGAAGGTTCTCTCAATTCGTTTTACATCTACAACTTGTTTCATTCTATGTTGAGAATTTTGCAAATTTTCCTTGAGTAATAGGATGATTCTATCCCTCCCGTAGGCTATTGTCCACTGTTGCTACATTTGATTCCCCGAGCACATAGGGAGAATAAGTAGGGGGTGTGGTACAATAAATAACTTCAAAAGGAGTGACCTTGGTGGAAGTGTGAAAATTTGTATTGAACCACCACTCAACCATAGGTGACCATTTAGTCCATTCCTTAGGATGGTCTCCAATCATGGAATGAAGATTCTGCTCCAAACAACGGTTCACAACTTCTGCTTGTCAGTTTGTGGGTGATAGGCAGTACTCATGTGTAATTGGGTTCCATATATCTTGAACAATCCTTGCCCAAAGTTACTAGTGAATACTGAATCCCAATCACTCATAGTGGTACTTGGGAGTCCATGCAGCTTGAATATATTGTCCATGAAGGTTTGAGTAACATCTAAGGCAGTATACGGGTGATGAAGTGCCATGAAGTGAGAGTACTTACTTAGACAATCTAACCCTACAAAAATCACATCCTTCCCCTGTGAACGAGGAAGGCCCTTGATGAAATCCATAGATATGTCACTCCAAGGTCGATCCGAGATAGGGAGTGGCTATAGGAGCCCGAGAGTTGCTATGTTCTCTGACTTATTGCGTTGGCACACATTGCACTGGCCACTTGTTTATGTAGATCACCACGGAGGCCCTTCCAATAATAGTGCCTTTTTATCTTACGTACCGTCTTTTGAACACCTGAATGCCCATCACACAGCCCATTATGAATCTCTCGAATTATGGCTAATTTTAAGGCTGAATTTGACCCAATCCACAATTGTTCTTTATATAGTAACCTGTTATGTTGCCACTGGAAGTTAGGCTGCAATGTCGGGTTGACTTGTACATCTTGGATAATAGTTTGAACCTTTGGGTCAGCCTTCCACTCATCTTGCAATTGATCAAGCCAATTTGCCACCTGGGCAGACATCGCCATTAAATGGGCAGAATCTTCTTGCTGTCTTGAGAGTGCATCTGCCACCTTATTTTCACATCCACTCTTATAGGATATTTCAAAGTCATACCCCAGCAACTTAGTTAACCATTTATGTTGCATTGGTGTGGTTATGCATTGCTCCAATAAATACTTCAGGCTGAAATGATCGGTCTTTATTTTAAAATGTTGACCAATGAGATAAGGTCTCCATTTTTCGATTACAAAGACAACGGCCAACATCTCTTTTCGTAGGTAGAGAGTCCCAAGGTGTGATCCGACAAAGCCTTGCTTGCAAATGCTATGGCCCTCCCTTCTTGCATTAGCATTGCTCCCAACCCTATTCCAAATGCATCATATTCCACAACAAAGGTCTTTAAAAAGTCCGGCATTGCTAATACTGGAGTTGTCGACATGGCACCTTAAGCTTTCTAAATGCATCACTTGTTTCAATAGACCACATAAAATTATCCTTTTTCAGCAAGTAAGTGGTTTGCTAATCTTCTCATAGTCCTTCACAAAGCGTCGATAATACCCTGTTAAGGGTGTGAGGTTGAGGCCACAACACCATGCTAGTAATTTTTGCGGAGTCAGCAGTAACTCTGTTGTTTGAAATAATGTGGCCTANCTCATAGTCCTTCACAAAGCGTCGATAATACCCTGTTAAGGGTGTGAGGTTGAGGCCACAACACCATGCTAGTAATTTTTGCGGAGTCAGCAGTAACTCTGTTGTTTGAAATAATGTGGCCTAACTCCTAAGTATTCCAGTTGCTTTTGCCCGAATGAGCACTTGGATCTTTTTACTGAGAGTTGATTTTGGAGCAATACACCCAAGGTCACCTCCAAGTGACGGAGATGGTCCTCCCAATTGCGGCTTTACACCAAAATATCATCGAAAAAGACAAGGATAAATTTACATAAATAGGGCCGAAATACCTCGTTCATCACACTTTGAAATGTTGACAGAGCGTTGGTTAGCCCAAAGGGCATAACTAGAAATTCATGATGCCCTTCATGAGTTCTAAATGTCGTTTTATGTATGTTGTCGGGGTGAACTCGAATTTGGTGATAACCTGTACGTAAATCCAATTTTGAGAAGAATAGTGCTACATGAAATTCAACTAGGAGTTCATCAATAACTGGTATCGGAAATTTGTCCTTAATGGTTTTTCGATTCAATGCCCAATAATCCACACACATCTTCTATGTGGTGTCTTTCTTTTTGATTAGCAAAATTGGAGATGAAAACGGGCTTACGCTCGACGTTATGGTGCCGGTTTTAAGCATTTCTATTACAATCTTCTCAATCTCATTCTTTTGAATGTAAAGGTAGTGCTAAGGTCTCACACTAATGGCAAGACAACTTGGTTTTAGTGGGAATTTGTGATCTTGTTGCGTGCGAGGAGGTAAGCCACGAGGCTCTGCAAAAACTAGATCAAACCGAGCCAATAGCCTTTATAATCCAGGATTTTCTGCTTCAGTTTGTACCTGGATAGAATTTGACTGTGATAAGGCTTAGATTGAGAATATTTGGGCCACATCTATTTGCGTAGACGGTTGTAACAAGCGGCCCATCTTGTCTGCACCAATTAACTTTACGGGTCTTGTGGTACCACCCCTCAACACATGCCTTTTTCCCTTAAAGTTAAACTCATCTTCAGGTTTTGGAAGTCCCAAAAGATAGGTCCGAGGTTGGTGAGCCATTGAACACCAAGGACCATGTCACACCCACCTAAGGGTAAGAGCCGCATGTCTGATTCGAACTGGATTCCTTGCATAACCCATATTAATCAACGACACATGGCAGAACTAGCAATTCTAGTACCGTCTGCTATAGCCACAGATAAGGGGCTGGTTTGATAGGTGGTGCACGTCGTTCGTTTAGCTACTTCTGGGTTAAGAAAGTTGTGGGTGCTTCTTAAATCAATCAAAATTATAATTGGCTTCTATTTTACGAATTCTATCACCAGCATGGTATTGTATGATGTAGAGCCAGCAAGAGCATGGACTGAGATGACTGGTTCGTCAGTTGGAATATCTATGGTTCCTTCAAGGGGTTCGGCCGTGGCATCTTCAAATTGTTCCACTTCTTCTTGGGGCTCATCTGCTTCTAAAAGGAATAATTGTTGTTTCCTACACCTGTGGCCACCGACCTATTTCTCGTCACAATAGTAACAAAGCCCTTTTGCCCGTCGTTCCTCCATTTGTGCTGATGAGATTCTCCTAATAGGTGGCAATGACGACTTGGGTTCAGATTTAGAAAACCCCTTTTGAAGGGTGTTGGTTGGCATCAAAGAAGCTCGAGCCGGACGTATAACAGCATCCATGGTCTCCTCTTGTAACCTAGCCAACCCCATTGCATGAGAAAGGGTAGTTGGCTCAAACAATACAACTCCATTTCGAATATCCTCACGCAGGACACTTGTAAAGCACTGCACAAAGAAATCCTCTGTTAAGCTGCATGTCCTTGTTATTAAAGCTTCGAATTGCTCCTGATAAAGTCTCACTACACCAGTTTGCCTCAATTTAGTCAATTGGCCAATTGCATTATCATAGTGGCCAGGTACAAAACACAAACACAGGTCCGTAGTAAAGATCTTCCATGTAATATGACGTTTGGCAACCTCATAACTCGGAAATCAGTCAACTGCTATGCCTTCGAGGTGAATGGATGCTACATAGACCTTGTCCTGCTCGTTGACATAGTTGTACTTGAAGAATCTCTCGCAGCAGTATACCCAACCATTAGGGTTTTCACCATCGAAATGGGGGAAAATCCAGACGGGCATATCTAGTCTGAATTGCTTCTTGGACAGAACTCTGTTGCCCTCTTAGTGGAGTCTCCGAAACACGAGATGTCTCCTCTTGCCCTTGCTCATTGATCGGCAAAAGGTGGGTAACCAGCTGCTCATACCTGATGTTGATTGCAGTAACCAATTGGTTCAAGTCTTTCTTGTCTGCGACATGGCGGTCAGTAAGGCTCTTCATATCAGCAGCTTGTCGGTCAGAATTCTCTTTCAAAGTGCGAATACTCTCCTCCATACACTTAACCTCTTCCGCCCTAGTCCCCTCCGCCATTATTGTCAGTACAAGCCAGGACAGGTGCTCTGATACCAATTGATAAGACTAGGAAGAAAGATGCAGAAGAATAAACAAAATTCCCACTTCTAGGGGGAAACCCTCTGTTATTGAAACTCAAAAGAATACAAATTTCTCCTATATTCATCTACCCGCGGAGACTCCAAATAAATACAGAAAAATAGCTTAATCAACTCTTAGAATCCAGCCAATCAACCGTTATTAATTGCAACATAAATCCCGCTAATTGCGGCGTGATTTACTGCATGATATTTTCCTTCCAAATTGTCTCATATCCAATTGTGAGTCTGTCTAGTGGCCTTGTTGCTGTTTTACTATCAAATTGGAGTGTCAGATTTCATGTTGTTGAATAATATGGATGCTGACCTCCATGTTTATGCTTTTCCGATTTCACAGCAGAAACCCATGGTCATGGAGTGTCATAACATAAATACCTCGAGGCAGATATTCTGGGCAAGGTAATATCTTACTTTAAGTCTGATATCTCTTATATTCTTTACTATTCAGAAGAGGGTTTTGTTTCTTTGTTTTCTTGATATCTCCCTTTAATTTTGACTCTTAGGGGTTTCACTTACATGAAATTTTCAATGACATCTTTTTTTCTTTTACCTTCTACAATCTTGGCAGTTATTGTGTTGACAAACCCATATCGTTGTCTTCATGCTGGACAAAAAATTCAAATTTGGAAAGTTTCTTCAAACTTCAGGGTAATATAGCTGGTTGGAGTTCAAGGCTGGTCTCCCAAAGGTTAACTTACTCAAATCAAGCTTCTATTGGAAAGAATTGTGTGGACCACATATCTAGGAGAACATTTTGTGCTCCTGTTAATCTGGAGGAGGAATTTTCATCTGTGTGGTCGCAAAGTTATTCAGAAGATGGTGAGGATGCCCCTGAGGCTTCCGAGGAGGAGGTTTCTGCAAAACCATTGAGCAGTGAAGAGGTACGTCTCTAATTTTTAGCAAATGTGTAGTACTTGAATGAGATATACTGAATACGATGTGAAGTTTGACTTGCTGATTTTTTAGATGCCATATGATGCTTAGATATTTTGCATGTTGTTGTATGACACATTCACTTAGACCTTCAAACCAAGCCCAGCATTATACATTTGTGAACGTTTAGTGATTGTAAATTTCTGTCTAAAACAATATCACAGCTTGTATCATTCTAATTCATGTCATTGAAATCCTCATTACTCTTCTTCAACATTGAATTGTTTATGCCTTTTTATTAAATGACCATGTTGCTTTTTTTATTAAATTCTTAGAAAGAAAATTTCTTTCAAGAACTTAGGCAACATTAGCCCCCTGCAGGCTGCTAAAACCTTACCATGACAGAAGGCAGGCTTCCTTTTTTATGATGATTTCAGACCTGTAATCTAATATTTGTTCCACGGATGGTATTTGAACCTCCCAGTGGTGAAAAGGGGGTTCAATTGTTAACAGCCTTCAAGTCCAAATCAGCCTGATATTAATCATTCTTCTTGTGAGTGGTCAAATCTGCATTTATTTTGATTGATGCCTGATATTGTGTAAACATGATCATAGCTATGGGAAAAAGAAAGATAGATGTAGGTAAAATTTTGCTTTCTATACCTGCAAGTATGGTCATAGATTGTCGTCACGTTTGAAATTGAAGAAGGGGGGAGGGGAGGAGCAAATTTTCTTTCTTTAACTTGTTTAGATTGAAATTTTGGAGATCTAAAGCCCCTGATTGAGCTGTTTAGATAGTCATTTTCTCATGTCTTTACTGGTAATGAATTTTGTTTACCACAATTTTCTTGTATGAGGATATGGATATGGATGAATGAGCCTAAGAAAACAAAAATAAAATAGTGTGTGATTTCAGATCTTTGCCTAGTGCAGGCCTTTACTTTTTTTCTGTAATGTATTTAAATGCCATTATCCCCTGAGATCAACGGTTTGAATTCCATTTCCTCATAATCAAAGTGCAGTACACAGCTAATTTAACAGAATTTTATCAGTTGAGATTATTCTTGACTTGTTACTTTGGCTAAAAAATGTTAAAGCCAATAATCTATTGTTCCTTAATAGTTGAAGGCTGTAGCTGTTGACTCTGAAAGAGCAAAGCTTATCAAGAAACTAAGTGAAGCCAACCAGCAGAACCGGTTCCTCAAACGACAGGTTTGCCCGTAACTTCAAGTTCTTCCTAGCTTTGTAATAATTGTACTGACGCCATTGGATCTCTATCTTAATACGCTCTATTACACAACCGTCTAAAAGGCTCTAACGATGGCGTTAAATGTATGTGCCATACAATAAGAAGGAGACGGACACGGCACACAACTTGGACATGACATTTCTAAACAAAGTGGTACAATGGCACGTCGGCAAACACTACACATGATTCTGTTTTATGTATCTATGTTGTTGTGATATAGAATAATTACAGTACTATTCCTAAAAATTTAGTACTTTATAAAAAGTAAATATATATGTAACCAACTAGTGTGGATTTTTTTAGGCTAAAAGAACATAGTCCTCAATAATCCTCGAATATTCTTTATACAAAAGTGAAGTAACCTACATATTTATAATAACTGCTCTCATCTTTTCAAGTCCATTTCTTCAGAAAAACTTATTATGCACATTTTACTTTTATTAGTAAAATTTAAGGACAACTTTAACATTACTAGTCTTACCAATTTTATATTCTTTCATGGCATAAGATAGTCATTTGTCACTTTCTTTAGATAGTCGTCAATTTTTCAAGACTTGGTAATTATATGTGTCTATATTTAAGGAGATACAACCTAAAGATGTGTTGAACACGTTACCAAAGGAGTACGTGGCACTTGTTTATCGTTCATTTATGGACATGGATAAAAGAGTATCAAACTCATGTCCAATAGTATTCAAGAGATTTACAGGTCCAAAATAGACACGCCACCTTCAACAAAGTGTCCGTGGTTCATAGGCCATAAATAACAATGTGTGCCCATCAAGTTATTTTTGCCCATTGAAAAAGACTTCGAGTCAATTGGTAGGAGCCACTTATTTAAGGGGTGTAATGAACTCTGTGTGCTTGTAATGTCCAACGAATTTGATCTGTGGTGGTGGTGTATGATTTGAGGAAACATGGTCACAGTCCGTACATGAGGTTTCGTGCTTCATAGCTTGAAAGGGACCATATGACAGATTTCTTCAGCAATATTATCCTATAGTCAACAAATAATTGAGCACCAACAATCAACTTGGGCAAAGGAAAATGCATGCTTTGGTTATAAGCAATGAATACTTCTATGTAAGGATGTTAAGGTTCTGCTGGAGATATGTTATACCCAGAACAGATATGGGTTCCCCTCTTAGTGGAGCCATGTATGAGATTCTAAACATGCCTTTTTCGCTATAGAGAGGATGGGAAAAAAAATGAAAATAAGAGATGGTATTACTTTGCAGACAATGAGCTATAGTTCTGGATGCTAATATGACAAATTGTGTAACTATCTTGACGATGTTCTTTGAAATGGCCTCAAATGGAATTCAAAATGTGAAATTAATGAAGAATGATGCAATCTTATGATTTTCCTCAAATATATGTGATTTCGAAAGGATTTTGAGTAGTTAAAATCAAGGTATTTTCACAGCAGAATTTTTGTGGGGTTTCTGTTTGGTGAAAGATCTACATGCTTTATTACTTGCTTGTTTACAGTTGTACGTGAAGGAGGATGCATTGGTCAATTTCAAAAGTGAACTTGCCACCATGGAACTCGAGATTCAGGTACATTCATTTTGTAACTGCTTCACCATTGCCGCCTTTGTGTTAGCTGATGTACTAAGTAAATATACTTAATCAATTACTGGAGAAGTAGAGTTTTCCACCTTTCATCTTCATTTATGGTGCCAGTTTAGCCAAAAAATAAAGCTTTCACATCTAGGGATACTTTGCATAATTTCTGTGAAGATCATGTATCATACATCGAAACTTTGGAACTACCCAAGATTAGTTATATGGTTGCGGGCATTTCTATTCATTTTCAATTGGTCCTGGATTGTATTCCTCTAATATCTCATCTGAGTTGGACCTTTGGTGTTTGGTGCATCAAGTTTGCACCTAATTAGATTCTTCAGTGTGTTATTTAGTATTTTTTTTTTGGTTCGTTAGTCCATGTGTGAGCTCAGGTAACACGAGAGATGGTGTGAATTGAGCTTGTGTCTGTCAGAAAATTAGGTCACCCAAGATTCGCTGTATGGATGAGGGACCTTCCATTAATTTTAAATTGGTTTTGGGATGGATGCCTCTAACAACTCAAATATCATAAAGCAAGAAAGTAGAGCCCCTTGCATATTTGAGATTGCAACAATTATCACAACTATCACTACCACTTTCACTTCCATCACCTGACCAAAATTTACCGTATCGTAGAATTGACAATATAAACTTCCCATAAGCTGCCCAATTTTTGATTATCCAACTTAATCAGAGTTGGCTACCAAATGTTTTTTCCTTTGTGAATTTGAGTAGCTACGCCAAAGCTGAGATTAATGTTATTTAATGACACTACAGTTCACTATTTTGTCATTTGCTTTTGAATTGGTCATAAAAGATACTCACGTTAAAATGTGTGGATAGCCAAATTGTGTCATGGAAGGAAAACTTAATTTTGGAATGGACATTCGAAGGGGCAATTCACTCCCCTGTTGCTTGGGTATTGTTGTTCGTGTAGTTCTGGCTATTGTCACCCCTTAGTTTCTCTCTTTACACACGCACCCATGTGTGAGTGCGCCTGTGTGTTGATTTGTTTCATCCCTACGAGATCAAAGAAATCGATGGACTACTCTCTTTCTTAATTCTTGGGACTTTCTCTGTAATCTGTGCAAGATTTGGATGCCAATGCTAAGCGATAGCGACTCTGCTATTAAATGATACGTTCTTTGTATTTATATGGTAATATTATTTGTGTTTTGATAAAAGAATCACTCAGACTATAAGCTGTTTTTAAAGATACCCATGATTTTTCTACAAAGGCAAAGTAATATGTAATAAGTTTTCTTTTAGTGTGCGACTTTCCAAGAGAGGTAATTGAAGTTTGGCCTTATTTTGGATTCTGTTGTTTGACTGGAAGTATTAACTTAGTTTGAGGCTGCATGCACTGGAGAGAGTTCCATTGATTGGGTAGTTTGATTTTTACTTTGACGCATCCTAGTAAACTGATTTAGTTCTGTATGATTGCAATAGGTGACAAACCCTGTATAGCTTGTGTTCACCAAATTCCTTTAATATATCATGCACAACACTAGATAAATAGCTTTTGATATCCTTGCACACTGTAGCCTGACCCTTGTAGCCTGATGCTTCGGCCATTGATTGGCACATGCATGAATATGGTTTGAAAAGTAGACTCAATGTGCAAGCAGCACCTAGTATCCTCCATTTTAGAATTGATTTATTCATCTGTAATTTTGCACTGGCAGGCTTTGGTGAGTTTGGCAGAAGAAATATCTAAATCTGGCATTCCAGAAGGTTCAAGAAAGATCAACGGGAAATACATTCAGTCTCATCTACTTTCTCGGTTAGCATGTATGACTGTTTTGTCATGTTTTATTTGGGTTACTCTTTCCTGGTTCAGCTTTCTAGATTTCTGCTGCTGCACGTATATGGTACACATGAGGTCCTGAGTCCAGACCATCTATGTAAGCTAAGAGCAAGATAAATTTGGTGTTTTGAGAAGTGAATGGCTTCCCTTTTCTAAGTGATGGACTTCAAGGCTGCCTTTAAAGTTGTCGCCCAGTAATTCCAGGAATTGGATGGATTATTTTGGTTGAATGGGCTTTTCAAAGTTCCCATGTCCATCCAATTGTATTTTGTCTATGGTAGTGAACAATTTCAACTGAACTTTGCAAGATTACTTTGTTTTTTTTGAACATATATTTTTTTTATCTGTAGCACTTTTTTCTGTGGGGTTTGTATATGATATTGATATTTGCTTTGTAAAGCTGTACAAGAAAAACTGAAGGAACAGATAAAAGATGTGGATGCTGCACGATCTAAAGAGGTGCAGCTATTCTGGTGTGGCATGGCAGAGGTGAGCTGAATTCATCTAAATGTTGAACCAGACATAACTTGATTGACTGCAAGTAAATCCAATCACTCAAACCTTGAAATGGTGTTTTCTCTAATCCCTGAGGTTTTTGATATGTGGAGTTCAAAATCATGACAATAACTCTGAATGAAGTTTTAACTAAAAAGAAGAGGAAGACCCTAAACTTTAGTCATTACACAGAAGGGGATATAGTAAGATAGGAATTACTGAAGACACCAGTCAGGAACCTTTAAAAATTACAAAGCTTTGTTTTTTGACCTTTTCTCATATGAAGTTAGAACTCCCAAACCTTCTCATATTTCTTCTCCAAAGGAGTTGTGGGTTCCTGTGAAAGATGAAATCATATATTTCCCTTCAGCCTCGACCTTTCTTCTTTATGATACTTTTTGTTTTAATAATATAATTTATTTCATTCAGGTTGGTATAGAATAATGTACTGGATTCTATTTGGTTTGACATAGCCCTTGAGGTGAGTTCTGATTTTGATGGGATCTGAAGGGAGTCAGTTTATCACTTATATGGATTAATTGAAGAGTATAAAGCAAGAACAATTAATCGTGATAGGTTTTTTCATTATAAGCACTTTTGCTTCAGTAGGTCCATGTTTGTAGGTGATTTACTTTCATTTCCACTGTGGTCAAACACCATTGATGAATAACTTCTAGGTGAAATGTGTGTGATGTTTCAGTAAATAATATTTTGCCTTTGTGTCAGAGTGTGCAAGTAATGGGCTCTTTTGATGGCTGGAGTCTAGGAGAGCACTTATCAGCAGATTATACTGGTTATTACACAAAGTTCTCAACAGCAATAATGCTTAGACCTGGAAGGTACTATTCTCTTGAGCCTTCTTCTTCTTCTTCTTCTCCTTCTTAATCTGTTATTTTGTGTCATTGAAGGTATCAAATCAAGTTCTTGGTAGATGGAGAGTGGCGGCTGTCGCCAGAATTACCAACCATTGGTGAGGGTTTAATGAAAAACAACTTGTTGATTGTGGAGTAGCTCCAGTTCTCTGATCTGTCATATCTAATGTGCAGAGAAATTGATGTTACTCAGTATGTAACTGTTCTGCTTAAATATATACGTTTCTTCTTATTCAGTATTATACTGATATTAAAGTGAAGAAGCGGAGTTGGAAGGTTATGCGAAATGGCTATGTTTAAAACTTGTGTTACATTAGTTGAAATGAAGAATGCTTCCCTACAAAGTTATTTTCAAGATTTTCAAACTTAACCAAAATTTTCAGTGATTTTGATACATTTTAACTGATTGCAAGTCTTCTCATTGGTACTTTTGTCCAAAGTTTTGTCAATTAATTGTGTCTGTGTATGTGCATGGAAGTTGTCACCCATGTAAATCAGAACCGAGACTGATCCAAACTCCACTGAACCTCGATGCCAACTTGCCTGATGTTTTTTTACCTGCTTAAAAAACCATTGACATAGTTCCATAAAATATAGATCTCACGTTCCAAAACTTCAACATACATCTCTCGACTGATTATGATTCTGGTTTTGGATTGTTTCTTTGTGTTCTCATCTGTGTTCTCTTCCCTATTTTCAACATTTTGTAGTTCTTTTGTGGCAATAGCAGCTGTTGTGTATATTTTTTTATATTGCGACATAGCAGCTGTTTAATATGTTTTCGATATTTTGACTAGGATCCCATCACACCTAGGTTATCTCATCCATTATCTGCTCTGTGCATTCACAAGTTATTTCCATGGGATTTTCTCTGTCTCAGTCGTCTCATCCATTTTACAGCAACTCGTTTCTCTTATAAACTTTTTGGGGAACGTTTACGGTTTCATATTTTATGTCCGCCTACTATGTATAACATGTAACAATTATTCATGGGAAGTGAGAGCTATTCCGTATCATATTTTGTGTGCGCCTACTATGTATGACAAAAGCAATGCCCTTGTCCAAAGCATTATAAATATATATATANGAGAGCTATTCCGTATCATATTTTGTGTGCGCCTACTATGTATGACAAAAGCAATGCCCTTGTCCAAAGCATTATAAATATATATATATTAAAACAGCAAATACTTTAAATTTTATTTCAGTCATATTTTTTTCTTCAAAATCATCATCAATCATTTATCTTTATAATCATCCCTCCGTCATATTCAAACGTCAAGTCGCATCACTCATTTTTATAACATGTATAATCATTTATATATTTTCGCTTNCCGTCATATTCAAACGTCAAGTCGCATCACTCATTTTTATAACATGTATAATCATTTATATATTTTCGCTTTAAAAATATCACATCACTCATTTCTATCATATGTTTAATTATTTAATATTTGGTTAATTTGTTGTTAATATAATTTTTATTTCAAACATTATTCATATTTAATAGTATACACATGTTGAAAAAATTTAATATAGTAGAATTTATTTTTTGGGCGCTCAAATTTTATATTTTGTCATGCCTTCAGGCACGGGTTATAACTAGTAATCTGAACATTCCCTCTAGGGGTGGCTCTTGACATTTTTGGGCCTAAAATGACCGATAAAATATAGGTTTTTTATTTTTAAAAATAATATTTTATTCAAAATTTATTCTTCTTGTGTTTTTAGATGTAAAAATACTAATTAAGGTTTTTAAAAAATAATATTTTGTTTAAGATTTTATTAATTTTAATTTTGAAAAAAAATTTCTTGTAGAAGCAACAATTACAAGAATTATCAATAATATTTTATAAACTATGCATGCATCTGGAAAAGAATTTAATCGTTTTATATAACTTAACTAGCGATACTCCGTGACTAAAGTCACGGTACATTGAATTATTACACTATGCATGCATTGAAATGTGTCTTTATGTATGTGCAGTTGTGTGTTGTGGAGTGTGTGCATTGGGTATTTGAAATTTTGGAGGGAAAGTGTGTGTCAAGTGTGTGAACTTTGGGGAAAAATATATACCCTCCATAAATTCAAACACTTATATGATTTATTATATAAATATTTCAATTGAAATACTTTCTTCCGTAAGTAATATTTTCTTTAGAATGTTTAGTTCTAAAAACAAATCTAAACTATCAATATAAGAAAAAATATCCTGTTTTAAGAAACACTCAAGATCAAGACAATATTTTTGTAAACTATCATCTCCTAATGATTTTAATTTCTTTATATTAAATAAAAAATCAAATATATTTTCATATATTTGAAATTGTTCAAATCTATTATTTAATGAAGAAATAACTTGATCTACTATGCATATAAAATAATTAGTTCTAAAAGATTCTTCAACATATTTTGTTACTTTGTCATCAACATTCTCATTAAATTGTTTTGTCCTACTAATTGTACATTTTTTTACGAAATACAGGTTTTATTTCCATTTCAATTGCAATCTCTTTAGATAAAATCATAGTAGTTGTAAATCCATTTTCTCTATATTTTTCAAAAAAAAAAATGAGACATTTTAATTGATCTATAGTAACATCAATATGCATGTCTTTTGATTGCAAATGTTTACTAAGTTGACGAAAAATAATATATCATACCAAATAGTAATGCCCAATAAAAAATCAAAATTCTCAATCTCATAAGTTGCTAAACAATTATCTTCACTTCTTGTTTTTGGATCTTCACTAGTTTCTCATAATTGTAACAATGCATCTCTTATACTTGGAGCTTGAAATTTAATTGCTTTAACATTTTCAATTCGACTTTCTCAACATGTTTGTGACAATGATTTTAGAGTTAAACCCGATACATTATTTTATAATTTTTTTCATCGTTTTGTAGAAAAAACAAATAATGAATATATGTGTTGTACTACTCCAAAAAATGACATAGGCTTGATACTAAAGTTAACCATATCTATAAAACCTGGTAAAAAAAAAATACTATTATTATTATTAAAAATCTTAATTTAAGGGGTAAAATAATAATTAATGGTTAAATTATGGGTCAAAAATATAAATTTTTAAAAAAATAAAATTATACTATATATATAAGTGGAAGACTTTTGTCTTCCACTTTTCTTCTTCCAGTGTGCTGCCAAGAGTGTGAGAGAGAGAAATGTGAGTATTATTTTATTTTTTTCTCTTTTTTTCATTCTCAGACCTACGAAGATTGACCCGTTTAATCGTTTTGAGCTAAGAATTAAAGTTGCTCTATTCAGCGAGAGCTACGCAACCACACCAAATATCGTATTTTTTCTCCGAAAGAATATTAAAGACGATAATTTAGGCCTAAAGTTTGGGAAGTTAAATTGGGCTTCCTCGAAGTTCCAGTACGTGGACTCACGTTATGAGAGGTAGAATTTTTCCTATTTAGATTTACTTTCAACCTAAAATATGACATATGAAATGGATAGACCATGAATGTATATCACATGTTAGATCTTGACTAATGTAACTAGTGAGTCAAATATATGACTAATGGGTCTTAACTAGTGGGTCTTGACTAATGTAACTAGTGGGTCAAATATATGATTTATAATTAATTTTGTAATTAGAAAAATTTTATTATGATTAACTTGGTGTAAGTTAATGTTAGTGGTTTAAATCATGTTAATTGTACATTAGCATTTATTTTATGTTTTAAATGACATATCAAGTTTAATGAAATTATTAGCTTGTTATGTGATTATGGAATAATATGTATGTTGAATGATTATTTAGCATATAATTATTATGGTGGACTTGTGCTTATGTTTATAGAATTGATAAACATGTTGCCATGTTGAAAATGTCATTATATTGTATTCTTTATGTAATGAACATTGTAAATGGTACCAAAGGCAATTGCACATTGAAATGTCATTATGCATGAGTTACATTACATTCATGGGCATCGACATGAGTGAAAGTGTGTGCATGGGATGAAATCAATCACCACATAAGTGGTTGATTGTGGGTTCGAAAAAAGTCGCACCAAGGTCCAGCTGAGTCACACAAAAAATTAAATGGATAAACGTGTCGGAAATAGCAAGAAGGGCTAGATTTTCCATCGGGTTCAAGACCCGCTTACTTGGTTTATACACTTTCCGGCGATAAAATTCCAAAAAAGTGTAACGGCCAAAACGGAGCCGCATGTGAGATATCCTGAGAATCCGTTGATGGTTGGTGTCCCATTGGTGTAATACCATAAATCATCTCCCCACAAAGACATAAGAAAATAAATTAATTAGTCATTGAGTGTACATAGCACTAATGACGGGGCTTGGAATGCCCGGATACATACGCATGACATTGCATGTATTGTAGAAGCTCAGGATGGGGCTCGGTGTTGGTATTGTGTTCGTGAGTCTCATCTCATGGCATGATTTATGACATTTGTTCATAATATACATATTTGAATGATTGCATGAAATAATTGTTGTATGTGACATTTCATATGCATTTAGGTTAAGAGGTATTATTTATAGGAGTTACCTTATTGAGCGTTGACTCACCATTTATGGGAATATTTTTCAGGTATTGCACAAGCATCCACCGAAGGTGAGGCCATGGGCCCGCTTTGACGGCAGAACCGATCTGTGACTTTTCTTTTGACATCGTAGTCCATTGTTTATAATTACTTTTGGCCTTGTGTAATTTTTGTAATAAAAACTTGTTTATATTTAAAAGGCATATATAAGAGACTCTTTTGAGACATTTATTCTTTTATGAATGAATGTACGTAATAATGATGATTATGGTAGTATTCAATACTATACAATTGTGAATGGATAGATAGACTCAGTGTGGTCAATATTATATAAGTTGCGTTTTGGGTAGAACTCCTCGTACAAATGAGACTTTGCCCAAATTTTGTTAAATTATGAATCTCGGTAAATAGAACATAACGATGTGGTATAGAATTACATGGTATGCACGAGTATTCCGCGGATTGATAGGTGATCAATCGGGTAATTACAAACACAACGATTTTGGGGTGTCACAATATCGCAAAGTACTAGATTTAGCTTATGACAATCACATGATGTGTAAAATGCTTTAGGATTTATATCTAAAAGTCTTTTTGGTACT